AAATAACTTGAAAACACTAAAAATATATTAATTTAAAGTAAATAAAAAATAAAAAAATATATTCTTTTAAATTCTTTTTTTAAAATATAAAAATAAACATGCCCTTGACCCTTGAGAAATGGGATTTCCCATGTTGTGCTATTGAAAAATCCACTTTTATGACTTCGACTCTAGGAAAAAAATGAAAAAAAAGTCGGTCCACGTTGTAAAAAAGTGTTCCATGGTGATGACAAAATCAATAAGTTGGCATGAAAAACCCTCCCTCGGGAAGAAGATTTCTAGAGGATTGACTAAATAGTGTCCATGGTTGCAATTATATTCTTGCAAATTCAAACCGAACCCTAGATCGAAGTTTACCGCAGGAAGAAACGGAAGAATTGTTATAAAAATTTATTAATTATCGTAGCTTCTATATTACAAAACCTAAATTTCACATCAAAACCATTTAAAAAACTCATTTATATATAAATTTAGTGATTCAATTTAATAATTTATTTAACAGTATAGTTATGATTGTTTTTTAAATAATTTTTTATATTAAAATACATATTAATAATATTTTTTTATTTTAACAAAATTATTTTTAATATTAGTGCATCAAAATGATTTGAATACACTAAAAATATATTAATTTAAAATAAATAAAAAATAAAAAATATATTTTTTAAAATTCTTTTTTTAAATATAAAAATAAACATGCCCTTGACCCTTGAGAAATGGGATTTCCCATGTTGTGCTATTGAAAAATCCACTTTTATGACTTCGACTCTAGGAAAAAAATGAAAAAAAAGTCGGTCCACGTTGTAAAAAAGTGTTCCATGGTGATGACAAAATCAATAAGTTGGCATGAAAAACCCTCCCTCGGGAAGAAGATTTCTAGAGGATTGACTAAATAGTGTCCATGGTTGCAATTATATTCTTGCAAATTCAAACCGAACCCTAGATCGAAGTTTACCGCAGGAAGAAACGGAAGAATTGTTATAAAAATTTATTAATTATCGTAGCTTCTATATTACAAAACCTAAATTTCACATCAAGACCATTTAAAAAACTCATTTATATATAAATTTAGTGATTCAATTTAATAATTTATTTAACAGTATAGTTATGATTGTTTTTTAAATAATTTTTTATATTAAAATTACATATTAATAATATTTTTTTATTTTAACAAAATTATTTTTAATATTAGTGCATCAAAATGATTTGAATACACTAAAAATATATTAATTTAAAATAAATAAAAAATAAAAAATATATTTTTTAAAATTCTTTTTTTAAATATAAAAATAAACATGCCCTTGACCATTGAGGAATGGGATGTCCCATGTTGTGCTCTTGAAAAATCCACTTTTATGACTTCGTCTCTGGGAAAAGAATAAAAAAAAAGTCGGTCCACGTTGTAAAAAAGTGTTCCATGGTGATGACAAAGTCAATAAGTTGGCATGAAAAACCCTCCCTCGGGGAGAAGATTTCTAGAGGATTGACTAAATACTGTCCATGGTTGCAATTATATTCTTGCAAATTCAAACCGAACCCTAGATCGAAGTTTACCGCAGGAAGAAAAGGAGGAATTGTTATAAAAATTTATTAATTATCGTAGCTGCTGGTTTAGCCTTCTCCTTTCCCTGAAGAAGGAGGATGATACCCAAATTTGAGCATTATCTAAGCTCCTTCCATCGCAGCCAGTTTCTATGGGACCTAATGTTTCATTTAATGCTTAACTTTATCTTTTTATTGTTTTATATTCGAATGATTAGGGACACGACCCACTTCTATTTTTATTTTTAAATCATTGATTTTATCAGCATAAAAAAACAAAAGCCTTAGGACTAACTTAATTATGGCATCAATGTATTAAAATTATTAATAAAAAATTAATTTTTTTAAAAACACAATTTTAATTATATTCTTGTCACAATTAAAAAGAACATTATAGTAATTTTTGTTAGTTGGCTTGAGATAGTAGGAAATTCCAAGTTTAAGTAATGCCATTTGATAGCTTATAAATTTTTAATTCTTGATCATCACATCTCATTTGTTTTTATTTGATCATCAATCTCATTTGTTTTTACGTTACAAAGATGTTTTTTTTAACAAAAAATTCTTTACTCCAAAGTAATTTTTTTTAAGTTTTTAAATTGTTTTAGTGTATTAATATTAAAAATAATTTTTAAAAATAAAAAAATATTTAATATATTTTTAAAAATAATTACCCCTGAACTTTCAAACACCATGTAAATATAATATCTTATACTAGGAAATTGTCATAGACACAAACTAGTCTATGTACCTCAAACTAGTTTGGAAAAAAAAAATCAAGAATTTAATTTCAAATATATTAAAGTAAAAAAATATAAAAATAAAATTAAAAATAAATGGACTAATTCTTAAAAACTACTAAATTCATTGAAGCATATTATCATTTACTTATAAAAACCTAAACCGATGATAACGGATAAATTTATTTTTAGATCATATAACCTCCATTAAAAATTTAAAACTTTTTGTATGAATATTTTATCACTAGTTTCTAACATTTTTTACATCAAGTTATAGGTTTTTATCTTAAAGTGGATATTAGATCTCTTGATTTAATATCAACTAATATCAGAATAATTTATCTAATATCTATCACTTTTAAAAACCTAGATAGACAATAGCCAACGAATTTATTAATATATCCAACTAGATCATGGCATCTCAATCGAAAGCCTAACGAGCCTTTTGCATAGATCATCTTACAATGAGCTCCTAGTATATTTTATACGGACTATCCCATTGAGAATCTCAACACCTAGGATTCCCATCCTAAAATGGATACTCTAGCATTAACAATCTAGCTTCTTCTTTTTTTTTCGAAGCCCTCGCTTTCCAATTTTTTTATTTTGGAGAGAATATAATAAATTTATAATTTTAATCCTGTAAAAGCAAATTATTAGTCTCAAGAAATGGAATTTCATTAATGACCCGTACTCTTGAATCTTTCAATCTTGGAGAGAAAAATGAATGGAAAACCAGTAAACTTACAAGCCTCACCTAGTAAAATTAACTCATTAGTTTCAAATTAAATGCAAGTATAATAAAAGCTTCACCTTTCAATTTCTTACCTCCATTAAATAAAAAAAAATATTTTTCTCCATTTTATTCCCTCCATTAATTTCACCCCATCCAAGCTCCCCCCTTTCTGTTCTTGTCCATCAACAAAGTTCTAGCTTCAAATGATTCATAATTGTCGATAACTTCTAAATTCATGTTTGGTATTATGGTGAATAATGAGTTAAAAAAATATTTTTTTAATTAAAAATATATTAGAATAATATTTATTTTTTAAAATTTTAATATCAACACATTATATTTATTTGAAATTATCTGGTATTATTAAATTAATATTTTTTAAATATTTTTTTTTGAAAAACAAGCAAAATAAAACGCACACCCACCCAGCACACCGTGTAAACAAACATCATCATCATGTCGGTGAGTGGCGTGTATTAAAATCAAATTTGCAGTAAGAACTCCTTTTGAAATCGAGAGCATGAAAAGCCAAGAAATAATGGGAAGATAATAGTGGAATTTGCTTTAAGAAGTTTCCAACTTCCAACTACTACTTTAGCTCTTTAGCAGTTATCCACTCCGCGGGGAAACCCATGCCTTCCAAAAAAAAAATAATTAAAAATTAAAAATCTAATGGCTAGTCTCTACCCGCCATTTATTACAGCTTTACCGTTAACGGCAAGTCGTCAGTGCATCTCTGTCAAACAGTTAAAAAAAATTACCAGGGAATCATGATCTGCTGCACCAGAGACTACTTCCTCACCATCCTCGAACAGATCAAATCACGCCACGTTGTCAGATGAGAGTAGGCCGGGAGCGTTCCAGAGAATCCGAGGTCCGTTTACCTTTTTTTATTACACTGTTGCCCCACGTGGAATATATATATATATATAAACAAAATTCCAAAATTGGAAAAGCGGTCTCATTTTCAATTTGACTTTTTGCCCTCCGCTCCTCACGCTCCACCCTGAAAAGAAAGGAAGGAAAAGAACAGAGAGATGGAGAAAGGGAGAGGGATTTTTACAGTTCATTTACTATTATTTAGACATGGACCCACCATAATTAAAAAGAAAATCTTACTTCATTTACTATAATAATAATAATAATAATAATACAATTTTTACTATCTGAATCCAATCAAGCAAAGGAAAGATATTTTTTGAAATTTGAGATACATTTTTTAAATAAATATCAAAACACAGGTTTAGGCTGGTGTAGTGATAAAATAACCTTTTTGCCTTTTTATTTTATTGGATTTATCAATTTAATTTGTTTTTTGAAATATTTTCATATACTCAGAGTAAAAAAAATATCTTAATATATTTTTAAATAAAATTATGTATTTAAGAATATTGTCAAATAATTTATTATTTCACACTATCAAATAACAAAAAAACTAAATCTATATATTTACACACATTTTACTATTTATTAGAATAGTATATATGAGTTTGATAAATTAATTTAAATTTTCTTGATTTTATTACTTGAGATACAAATTTATTATATAAATTTTGATTAATTCAGTTTATTTTTTTAATCCAATCTTATAATTCCATATTTAATTAACTAAGAACCGGGTTATAATATTTTATTTTATTTTTCTTCAAATTCTTGTGATATTTTTTTTGTTTAATTTATTTGATACAGATATAAATTGTATTGTCATGATAATACCTTTCCTTTTATTTTCGTTGTGAAGTGAATACTTTTTTTTCCCGTCAGCTTTCGTGCTTATATTATAAATATACCATCCATAAATGAATTAATATATTAAGGATAAAATAATTTCTTACACCAAAATCAAACTGCTTGCAAGCTGTAGTGTTAGAAAACCAACAAATCTTTAGCTTAATAATAATCATATCCACATCATGATACTAATCTATTATCTACACAATTAGTAAAGTGAAATTCTTACAAGCCATCTGACCCACACAGTTTTTTTAATGGCTGGCCATTGTGTCTCTGAAAGTGTACTACAAATTAAAGACTTGAAAGTCCAAATCATGGTCCAAGCAGTTTTCAATCATTGAAAGCAACTCTTGTGCTTCCTTAGCTCAGGTTTCTTGAAAAATCTGCACTTAGGTTTTGACTTCTCCTTGTTTTCTTGCACTAAGTCCTCTCCTTTCTTTGCTTAATTAATTACTGGTTTCTTTTGAATTCAATCACCCCATTATCAACTCCACAATTTTTTTGATCTTGGGATTTACTATTTTCTGGGTTTTTTGTGTTTTTGAATCCAGTTTCTTGCGTTTGCTTTTTTGGGGTTACCTTTTTGGAGACATGGCTTCATCTACACTTCATCTTGATTTATTATATACACTTCAAACTGCTTTCTGTTGTTGTTAATGTTGAAATTTCTCCAAATCACTACCTTACTTTAGTTTTTATGAGGTGTAAAGAGTTTGTTTTTAGTATCCAACAGCAAATCCTGTGGAATAGGTAGTTCAAAGCTCTGGCTGTTTCTTCATTTTCACTCTGTTTTGGTTTGGTGTGTTCTTTAAGCAAGAAGTGAGCTTGTAGTATCAATATTGCCGTCTCTCGAAAAGGGTTTGTGTTTTCAACTTTCTTTACCTTAGAAATGTTCATTCCTAGTGAAGTGGAGCAGATCTCATTGCCTCTAGATAATGTAAAAGAGAAGTTGGAGCCGATGGAACCAAACCAAGATTACATCGATGCGTTCCAGTTAGAATCTGAGTTGATGGATTCACCACCTTTACCTAACTCAACCATTTATACCGATGTCAATGTTGTTCCTGAGCATGAAAAGGGCGAGCTTGAGCATTCTATATCGAATCTAGAAGGTAAAAGTTTGAAGTATTTAGTTGTAGTTACCTGTTGTTTCAAGGTTCTTTTCTTCCATAAGGTTCCCATGTTGCATTGAATTTACAGGTGAGATCGCAGGGTTGAAACGAAAGGAGAGATTGTTGGACAAGAAGCGCAGAGAAGCATTAAATAAGATATTGGATATTAAAGGTAGGAATTTACTCTTTGGTCTCAAGATGGAGTTCTTTTGACAATGTTTTCGCCTATTCTAATTCTGGCTTTGATTTTCAGGCAGCATTAGAGTTTTTTGTCGAGTGAGACCGTTCCTATTGTCAGATAGAAGAAGAATTCACGAACCCATTTCAATTGGGTTAGAGAAGGTGGTGGTTAAATCAGTTGGAATTAGGAAGGAGTACAGATATGATAAGGTTTTTCATCAAGCAGCTACTCAAGGTTTGTGTCCAAATTAATGTGCTTTCTTCTACGGTTGATCATAGGTTGTTTTAATCATTTTCTTTTTGGTTTCATTTGAATTAAGAGTCTATTTTCCCTTGAAAACTCTGTAGAAGATGTTTTTGTTGAGGTTGAACCTATCCTTAGATCTGCACTTGATGGGCACAATGTATGCATACTGGCTTATGGTCAAACCGGAACTGGCAAGACATTCACAATGGTCAGTGGCAGATTGAAATGTGTTCCTCTTGTACTTTTGTTATTAATTGCATGTTCTTGATCATTGATGACTATGGGTTAAATCATTCTCCAGGATGGCACAAATAACCAGGCTGGGATCATTCCTCGAGCTATTGAAGAGCTTTTTCGTCAAGCCTCTTTGGATAACTCATCTATAACATTTTCAATGAGCATGCTGGAGGTTTACATGGGTAATCTTAGAGATCTACTTGCTCCAAAAGTGGCGAGCAGGACATATGAGGTTGCAGCAAAATGGTAATTATATACTCCTGATGCTCAAATGAAACGCAAACTCAAAAATCAAATCGAAGCCTTTATAGGATGTAAACATGTTTTGGCTAACTATACCAGAGCAGTTTAAATATTCAAACAGATCCAAAGGGAATGGTTGAAGTTGAAGGTCTGACACAGGTCCAAATACCTGATACTGCAAAGGCAAAATGGTGGTATGCTAAGGGCAGGCGGGCTAGATCTACTTCATGGACTAATGTCAATGAGACATCAAGCAGGTCACACTGGTGGGTTTAGGGTCTCCTTTATTTTTCGAACTTATTTGCTTGATTAATTTCTTTCGACAATTCCGTTATCTGTTTAGTTCTATATATCTAGCTTAATGAGGATCACCATTTCTCGACATGGAGATGATTCAAAAGCTAAAGCACAAGTGAGCAAACTGTGGATGGTTGATCTCGGAGGAAGTGAGCGATTGTTGAAGACAGGGGCCACCGGACAGACAATGGATGAGGGAAGGGCCATAAATCTATCTCTTTCCGCTTTGGGTGATGTTATCGCTGCTCTAAGAAGGAAGAGAGGCCATGTGCCTTACAGGCAAGTTTTTAGTTGGGTTTTTTTTTTTTTTTTAATCTTTAATGATGCCTTCCTTTTTTGTTGGGCAAGCTGGCGGTGGTCCCTATTTGCTTACGAAGTTACTATTGCAACCAAGTTAGGACTTTTGAGGTTTTGCTTCTGTCCTCTTGTCAATATTTAATTTATCTGATTTTAAATTTCACTTCTTTGGCTGCAGAAACAGCAAGTTAACTCAAATCCTCAAAGATTCCTTAGGTAAACCTCTGCACGAACAGAAAATTAAGAACTTCAGTTCTATTGAAATTCACATAGCACTCAATGGTTCTTAATACCTGAAACTATAAAGGTGTGGAGTCTGAAGACTGCTGGTAGTGACAGTTAAATTCCTTACATGGTCATGACTTCTATTTATGCTGTAGAGTGTATGCAATAAAGTGCCATTGCAAACACAAATATACGTTTCCTTTTCTTTTCTGGGTGATGTTTTTATACTGTCTCGATAGTTTGAAAATTTTAAATTCTATTGCTCTAGGTCATAGTTCAAAGGTTTTAATGCTTGTGCATATAAGCCCGTGTGAAGAAGATGTTGGAGAGACAATCTGTTCTTTAAGCTTTGCAAATAGAGCAAGAGCGATAGAGACCTATCGAGATCTAACAGAGGTACAACTCTGTAAAGTTCTTTCACAACTGTCAATAATCTTGTTGCAAAAAGTTCACATCCATCACTTGCATTTGCCTTTGGTTAGGACATAAACATGCAAAGGCAGAAGAGGATTTTGGAACTCGAAGTAGAAATGAGAGAAGCCGAAGAAGAGTGCCAGAAAGTTAGGTATCAAGTACATAAGGCTGAGTTCCTGTTGAGTGAAAACAGAGAGCTTTTGTCAACTACTTATCATGTTCCTGATGACAAGGAGAATGCACCTTTAAGTCCCAAAGAAGACTATAAGGAAGTCAATAGTACATCTCAAGTTACTGACAAAGGAATTAGGAGGAATATGACAAGTCCTTTCCCGCGATTTATGACTTCTACTGTGGCTAGTCGGCAAAGGCAAAGTGCTGCAGAAAAATTAATTGTTGGGCGGGCAAGAAGTTTGAGATCCGCAACAAGAAGTTCATTACAATTTTCAGCTTCTCAGTCCTTCAGTTATTCAGAATTTCGCTTTAGAGCAATTTTAAAGGAGTCAAATAGAAAGTCAAGATATGGAGAGACAAAACCTCGTCTCCCAGAGAGTCCCAAATGCAATGTCCCGGAGATGAAGATGGCCTCCTTGCCTCGAAGCAAGACTGTTATTTCATCAGATCCAAACTTGAGAACTACGCTTTCTCGTCACAGAAGAAGGATGTCTGATCTAATCTAAGGGTAGAGAAAAGCCTCAGGATTTTTTTTTTAATATTTTTTTGGCATGCAGGACCGGGATCCTTTTTTATTTTTATTTTTTTCCAGTTTGGTGCTTAACAAAGGGTGTGTGGGATTCCGTGCTTTGATCTGGAGGGAGTTTTTTTAGTGAGTGTTGTGTATCACAGTGGGATGGGGGTTTCGCATAGGCTTGTTGGGAACTTGGGATCTGTTATATTATTTGTTTACAGCATCCCTGTTGTCACATGATTGATGACCTGGTTAGGTCTGATGAGAATTGTTAAATACTCATTAACATGGACATGTTAGCGTAATGCGTGCCTGATTTTTGTTTAGATTTTATTAACATCATATTGTTTATTATATCACACCTTTCTGGTCTTTTGATTTGCTTCATGACCTGTATGCGGTGTCAGCGGAACAAATCCAGCTCTCAGCTGCTCAATTGATATGATTCCCTCTAGTATGAAACTGATTTCTGCTCTTTCAACAACGCACTACACTGGATACATCTACTTGGAGTTCCCATTCGCTGTCATTGCCTTGTCCACGCAATGTTCCTACATTCCATATCCCCCAAATTTCTTTTCCATTATACGATTACAGCTTAAGTTTTCTGTGGTAGTATGGAATATGATGCAAGTGCATATGAGGACTGGCAGAGTGGCAGGCTCATGTGCTTCAGTCTTGGCCAGTTTAAAATGCTTTGCTTCTAAGCAATTTAAAGTTAGCAGGCGAGATGCAGTCTAGACGAGAACTTTGGAAGAGAAAAGCAACACAACGCACTGATAAATCAATAGATACATTCAGTTTCAGGACCTTGTCAAGAGCTGCAAACTGTGCATTAACCTTACAAGTTTTAGTAATCAAGAAGCCATAGAATGTCTGAAAAGAAAGTGTGCCCTCAAGCTAGCATTTCAAATTTGGACTACCCCGTTGCATAATTTAATTTCATAACCTTGCGGACCTTTTCAAATCAGCTCTGAATCCTTAAATCAAAGTTACATCCATTTCTTTTTCTGTAAAACATACATCGAAAGCCTCCCATTCCATCCTCAGAGAGAAGTTCAAGCCAAACAAAAACCTGCAAGATCATCAATCCTTCTTTCTTCTTACTGTTATAAACTGGATGTTGACGAGGAAGTGATCAGGAGCAACAAAACTAGTATACAACAATCACGGAGGCTTCATCTTGTATCCAAATAAACAAGAAAGAGTTTTCTGCGGGCTCTAAGCTTTAGACCATCTAAATTCAAACCAAATTTCATAGTGATTAAACAGCAAGCTATCATGTGTATGCTTTCCACTATACTCGAGTCCCAGACTGGTCAACCTCTTGGTACATTCCTCACCTCCAAGTCTTGAACAGAACTTTATATTATGTGACACGAAGATGCGGCCATCATAAGGTTTCAGCATGCTCGCTAATCTCTCCAGTCCAGCCCAGACAAGCTTGTCAGGCATATGAAGAAACACAGCACTAGCATATATCAAATCATACACAACTCCAGAACCAAACTTGGAGAAATCCATGTCTTCACCTTTCACAATCAGAGGACGCTTGTGTAAAAGACCCTGAGAGGGAAGCTCATATCTAAATGCAGCCATCAGAGAGAGCTCATCTCTTTCAAGACAATGGAAGTGCTCAGGGACGAGATAACGAATGAAATGCAAGCCAACACGAAGTGTTCCACACCCAATCTCTAGCACACGTGAATTGGGTGACAGGTGGCTGGACTCTGCAAGGAACTCAAACACATCGTGTCCACCAGCCCACGGCTCCCCATAGTTGCTATGATGCTCTTCCACAAGTAGCTCGCCAGGACACGGGAGAGCAGTGTGGTTATCTGACGCTAGCCCTTCATAATGTGATATGCCCTTGAACCTGAAAAAAAGGGCTCAAATCAATTAAAAATATTCCTGTACCCTGAAATTAAAATGTACAAAATACCAATTTCTAAGTTTGAGTGTACATGCAGAAACATAAAAAGACATGCTCAAATTTTTAGGGACAATCAGTATAAGAGAAACCGATAACATTAACTACTAGAAGTTACGACATTGCATTTAAGAGTGGGCGTGAAGAAAAACTCAACTCCCAAAATTAAATCAAATCAACTGTCTTCCTGTGTTGTGTATGTTTTCAAATGATTCCTACTTCTTTCCATGGGACTGCATTTCGCCAGAATACCGTCATCTCCTTCCAATACATTAATTACCTCTCACTCCATTCTATCAAACATGGATCAAGTGCAGAGATATTGACAACAACATTTGCAGGATAGCAATGGAGCACCGACAAAATGTCCAAACCCCAGGAAGAAAAACTCACTCACGAAATCACGCACACAAACACACATGGTTGTGATTTTGCAAGATTAAACAGATTTAAAAAAACGAACACCTTTCATTATTAAAAATGTGCAACTCAAATTAAGCACCCAATTTGGTACCACAGCCCAAACACATTAACACATATAACATCCTTAAAAATTACATCTTTTCCACCAATCAATACAACATCATCCAAAAAAACCACCCAAAATCCAAACTTTATCAACACCCAATACACAGCCATTCAAAACAAAGAAAACCCAGAAATCAAAAAACCTTATAAAAATATAAAAGAGAGTTACTTACTGAATGAGATCTTGTAATTGTTGAGCTCTAGTACGGGGATTAATCCCTTTACGAAGAACATTATCTTGCATATGTAAGCCATTAGCTTGGATCTGATCCTTGATCCATTTAATATCCTCTTGTGTTGCAGATATTCTCTCTTTTTTATCAACCTCGCCAAGCCCCCCCCGACCATTGTTATTATCATTAAAGCTTTGCAAAGGAGGAGGACATGAACATGTAGACAGCGAAGATAAGAGAAAGAATAGCATTATTGCTCCTACAGAAACAGAAAGGACCAGCGTTGGAATTGAAATTACTATTCCTTTTTGTGTTGGTGAATATGTTACTGTTGACAGTGCCATTCTCTCCCTGCTCCCCTCTTCTCTCTCTTCTTGCTTGATGCTGGATGAAAATGAATTTGTTTTTTTTTTTTCTGTGTAGTTCAATGTGTGACAGTGTCGTTTTAGGAATAAGAAACACTGATGAGTTCGAGACCTTCACAAGCAAGTTGTGTCGTTTTGGGGAATTGGAATTCAAAACACTATACAGTACATTGTTTTTGTGTTTTGCAAGTTGTGGGGCTTGCATTTTGTCTTAATTACAAGAGCATCCTCGGTATAATTTTTATGATAACAACCACAATAATAATCCTAAAAAAAACCCTTAAAATAACAAAATCTCATCCATATTTTACAATTACAATAAATGAAAATTATTCTAATTATTTTATGATTTATTTGTTTTTATATTTATCCTTTGCATTTAAAAAAATATATAATTTATATTGAGTGTAAAATAGATTAAACAACATTTAAAAAAATATAATTTATATTATTACACCTTCTTTAATATCCAGCGCACAACATTTCTTTTGAAAATCTACAAGCTCCGAGTGTTCTCGTTATGCTATTGCTTTCATCCATTTCTAGATTTAGTTAATGCAAATTCTATTTTGTTTTTTTCCCCCCTTAAAACCTTATTAATGTTAATAATTTTATCAGAATCATTAGTCTCATTTACTGGGCATCAACTAACTAGAACTAAAATTTTATATTAATATCAATATGTCATATCACTATTATTAGTTATCTTGATTTGGGATAATTAATCAACTCTTTCTGATTATATTAAGTTTATTATTTGAAAATGATGGTCTAGAATATTTAATCAACTCTTTTTTTAGTATATTAAGTTTATTATTTGAAAATGACGATGCTAAGAAAACCTTTTCATATAATTAGCCTCTTTTCATGGATAGCTAATCAAATTTTAATGGAAATGTTGATATCAGTTAAGGATGGGTAAAAAAATCGATAAATCGATTAAACTGAAAAAAATAAAAAAAATAATTGAAAAAAACCGAATTAACCAATTAAAAAATCACAAAAAAATTCTAGTTCGGTTCACTTTCAGTTTTCAAAGTTTAAAACCAATTGAACCGAATTGAATTGAACCGGTTCAACCAGACCACCACTTAAAAAAAAACAAATATAAAAAAAAAGTTTTCTAACCCTAAACCCACATTCAGCCGCCCCCCTCCCTTTGCTCCCTAGCTCTTTGCATCTCCCCCCTCCCTTTGCTCTATATATCTCCCCTTCATCTCTTCTCTCTTATTTTTTTTCCATGCTTAACTCTATGATTGTTACTTATTAGTTGTTAAGTTTTAGCTCCATGCTTTTTTGTTTAAGCTCTATGCTCCTTTAACCACCCCGTTTTCCTATTCTCTACCTTTCATCTCTCAAATGATTTGAGTCAAATCTATTATTTTTCTCTTCCATGCTTTATTCCTGTCTCTCATTTCTTTTTCTTTTTTTTTAAGATTAACATGGGTGTCCGGGCCAGCTTGCGCGCACCACGACTAATCCCACGGGCCCTGAAGTTAACGACCATGTAAGCCTCCAGTGGCCATCATATGAGCAACCAAGGACTCGAACCTGAGATCACAGAGAGAGCAAACCCCTTGATCCCAAGTCCTTATCATTTGGCTACCACCTAGCTATCTCTCATTTCTTAAATCTACATGTTCTTGACCCAAATGTTATAGCTTTATGGTGCTTGACAAATTTCATAGGTTCATCTTTCATATCATGCTTTCTGTTTATTTGTAATTAGTAGGCCTTGTAACATTTTCTGAAGAAGGAGTTGATTGAATCTGAAATTAGCTTGAGCATTATAATTTTAGTTTGAAAGGGAAAAAAATTGAACCGAATCGAAATTAATCGATTTGAACTGGTTTTGGGTCCGATTTGGTTCAAAAACTTTTAAATTTTTTTTAGTTTAGTTGTTTATTTTGATCCAAAACCAGATCGAACCGAAAATACTTAACCTTAATATCAGTATAATTCATTGATATTATTAGCTATCTAAATACCTATAATGACTAATCATGATCTTTTAAATATCTTAATCATATACCTTACTAATATCAAGAGTCATATGATATCATTAACCTTTCTTCAGGAATTGCTGGTCATTTCACATATGTTCTTTTCTTCCATCATTCATTTAATTATAAACTTGTATAATAATATCATTACAAATAAATAAATTTTATGATAACAACATTAACACAACATAACAATTTTATAAATATGATAACAATGTTAACACAATGTAACAATTTTATAAGTATTATGCATATATTTATTATGTTATAAGCTATTTTTTGGCTCGGGTTAGTGGCATAATTGTCAAGACATCTCCTGCAAATTAATTCTTTTCATTGATCAATATTATTTTTAAAACACTCAGTAATAATAATAAAAATCACTATTATATTTAATCTTTCATTTTCAATGTTCCATTTTGATTGCTAACGGAATTAGCCATATGTTACATATAACTTAATCATTTAAATTTTCCTATGATAATCTAAATGATTAATCACATATAATTATTTTATCATATTTCATTTCTATCTTTTCTTGTTGATTTATATCTTAATTATATCATATATCATATCTTGATGAAATCCTCATTCTAACTTAAGACATGACTAATTTATTATCGGTCAATCTTAAAAAAAACTTTAACTTGTTGATTTCTATAATCTTTTTTAGTTAGAAATTATTTTTCTTATTTTTTTATTTAATAATTTCTTTTTTATTTATATATTTTTTTAATTCTAAATAAACTTTATTTTTTAAAATAAAACAAATTAATTTTTGGTTGATATTTCTAATATGTGTAGTTTTGTATAGTATTTTTTTATTTTTATTTTATTCAATCAATTTAATTTATTTTTTAATTTATATTACTGTTTACTTGAATAATTTTTTTTTTTAATAAACAAATTTAGTAAATATAATGGAATAGATGTAACAATTTATAAAATTAAATATTTTGATCTATTTTTGTTTCTCAATTTTTATTTTTATTGTTACTTATCCTTTATTATTTTTATTTATTTATTAATATACATATATTTATTTATTTAATTAAATATACACATAAAAAAATTTATTCGCACATAAATTTTTTTAATTATAAAAACATGTTAAAAACAACTACATATATAATTTTTTATTAAAAAAAACCACAAATATATAAGAATGATTCAAATTTTGTGCAAGGCCAGGTCTAATTCCCATCCTCTTTGGAATCTAACAAATCGACGTCGTTTTACAAGATTTGTTGATTCGATTAACCACCATGCCTAAATCCACCCTCCTGTAAAAAAGCATCCATTAAACCCTAATTCCAAAAACACAGACACAGAAATAGAAAAGAAAAAAAATCACTCGAAAATTCATTTCCAATCCATAAAACAATGAATTCTCCAAGGATTCTGTTCAACATTTCCCAGAAAAACCCTAAATTTCTCTCCTTGTGCTCCCTAAGCTATTCTCACATCGACAGTCACCTCATTACGTCACAGCACCGCTTGATTTCCTCCACCGCGCCAGTGAGTTCATGGATGGACACCATCAAAGGTGTCTTCACTGGAAAAAAGGCAGAAACTGAAGACACCCCAGAGTCATTCACGTTACTCAGTAAGTCTTGCGTCATTGCCTGCCACGTTAGTTCTCAATCCAGTAATCAGCAAATTTTATGGTTTTTAGAACTCCCTTTTGTGTTTTGAGAGTGAAAGTGAAAAACTTGAAGTGTAACTTCTGTGTTTGAGGGCGTGTTTCAAGTAAATGAATAACTTGGGTGTTATGAAAATGAAAGCTATTTTTGTTAGTTTTGATTTTTATTTTATTTTAGGCTTTGCAGATGGGATGAAGAATGCGAGGAGGGTTGGATCGCTCAAGCAATTCGTCGTTGGTAGGAGCAGTGAAGCGACCTTTTCCAGTGCTTTTGAAAAGCAGGAAGCAATAATTCGATATCTTGGTGCACTTGATCCTACTGGTGAGGTTGGTTTGTCCCTTTACAGCTGCCTTTCTTAGATACTACCACGCACGGCTTGGATCTACTTATTCACCTTTACTGCAAAATTGCTGCGATATTGCTCTTTACTAATAGCAGAGTATCTTCTGTCATTCAAATGATGAGTTGGAAAAGTATGAAGCAAATATGCAATCTGGTTTATTAATATTCTGCGTTAGGGGATACTTTGATGGGTAATTTTAGTAGAATCAAGGCTGGACACCAAATGAAGGGGATCATTTTTATGTGATTTTTTTGAAGGTGCCATTTGCCAGCAAGAATTTTGAATATTACCTTATAGTTCCGACCTTTCAATTATAATTTCAGTATCTCACAGCAAAGTGTTTTCTGGTGGAGGGTTCGAATCTTCTGGTGCTGAATATTCATGAGCCAGCAAGTTGATTGCACCCTGTGATTTACTTCATGATACACCTCTTGTTTTTTATTCTCTAACAGTTCTTCTAATGGCTGCAATACTTTCTTGCATTAAACTTCAGTCATGAATAGAATTTTTGCATGCATTTTTTGTTTCCTGCAAGATTGGTTCCCTTGTTTGTTCTTATTTTTTGTAATCTTCTGTTATTTGATGGGTTCTGGTTAGATTGCTGGTTAAATTATTTAATCATCTTTCAATGTATGCATTCATGTGTAATGTGCCATTAGGCTCCCTAGACATTTGTGAATAATCTCAGTAAATTGTCTTGTGGTTGTAGGGTTCAAATCTTCTAGTGCTGAATATCATGAGCCAGCAAAGTTGATTGTACCATATGATTGGTTATATGATGCATCTCTTTTTTTTTTAATTCTCTAATATCTCTTTTATTTGCTCATATTTTGCCTTTCATTGCCTCTCTCTCTCTCTCTCTATATATATATATATATATATATATATATTCTAATCCCTAATAACTTTGTTCATGTATAGAATTTTTGTGTGTATTGATTGCAAGGTTGGTTCCCTTCTTGGTTCTTAATATATTTAATCTTATGTTACTTTTTCATGGCATCTGGGTAGGCTGTTTGATTATGATTTTAGTTTCATTGTTTGTAGAACCTCCAAACAAGTCAAAAACAAGAAGCAGCGAAGCACTGTAATTGCACAATAGCAGATGTTGAGAGTGCTCTCTCTAAGTTTATATGGGCTAAAGAAGCACAGAATAAGTTGCAAAAATTAAAGGAAGAAGGGAAACCAATGCCAAAGAGCATGGCTGAGGTACTGTTGCTTGCATTTTATTTAGTTATTACACTTTTTAAAGAGTTTCTACACTTCTGCTTCATTTTTTTGTGAAAGATTACGAATATGGATTACTGAATGAGGGTGGTTGTTCATTCACTATGATGGGAAAACCATACCTGTAAATCAGGAATCAAATCCTCTGTTAGAAGTCATTCTATGTGTAAGATGTTACTAGGTCCGGGTTTAGTTAATGTCAGAAGAAGGCCCTGATATCAATTCTTTTTTGGCTCAGTTTTACAAAATTTGGGAAGACAAATGAATTTGTTGGCTTTCAGGACCACTCTGTATCTTTATAGTCATGTGATTTGAACCTTTTCAAAGCAGAAGTCGAAGCTCCATGCATACCTTTGCTGGTATTGAACATTTTTCATAGTTGGGCTATTCTTCAGAAAGAAATGGAAAAATCTACAGAGTCACGTTATGGGCTTCTGTGCTGGACTTTGTTATGGATTTTAAGCCAAATGATCCAATATGCTTTGTTATTTATCAACCAGTCTTCTTTTCCACGTGAAGTGTTTGATTTAGTCAATTGTTTAGTTCCATTTTTATTTCTCGGATCTGTAGTGGAGCAATTTAGCAACTGTTCTTTTTTCTTTTCAATTACTCTCTAGAGTGGAATGTTAGAAGATGTATCATCGATTATTATCTCTGTTTCTAGGTCCAGAAGTTGATGGGATCGACACCATTGGATCTTGCTCGGTCTAATTTGGCTAAGAGTGGGCAGATCAGCAAAAATGCACTCTGTCCATGTGGTTCCAAGAAGAAATACAAACGGTACTCTTTATCCTTCAGATTTCTTTCAGAAAATGATTGTATTTCTAGAATCTTTTGTTTAGAGTCTTCCATCAACCAAAACATTGCATTATAAGAGTGAACTCAGAAGGTGTGACCAAGAATGATTTACAGGAGATTCTTCAGTTATCTGCCACAGTTATTTGCATCCGAGCAAGCTCATGCAGCTATCTGTCAGATCATTACTTGGATTTCCTGTTCATGTCACCTTGTCTGTTATTGTTTTATGTAGTTCTTAGATATATTAGACTGCAAGTGTAAGACAATAGTCAGAGGTTGGCAGGCCTTTGCTGCTTCATACTCTCAGGGAATCAGGTTTCCCTTCTGTATTTACCCAAACCGTGTGTTTTTCTCTTCTGTGGTGTGTGTTGACTTATTTCTTCCATTAGCTTGGTCCTCCAGAAACAGGTTGACAACACTATCTGGACTCGACTGTTCCTTCTTTTATCGGGGATCCCTATACAAGAAGTTTTGCACTCATGTGCCTTTTTTTTTCGTGAAATTTGACTAGCTCCTTGTATTTACTGTGAAGGTGCTGTGGAAAGGACTGAGGAGATTGGAAGGTCAAATGGAAGAGGTGCACTCAAAGCGGGTGGCCGATATGGTCGGTCCTTGCAAGATTGGAGAAAAGATTTGCAGTCTCAAATTTTGATTCATTTTTTACTAGCTAGATTGAGCTCCTAATTTTGTTTGCCATTAGCAGCATGTTCTCCGGACAGGTTGTTAAGCCGAAATTGGCTGCTTGTAATTGCACCCTTTACAAATGAGATTGCCATTGAATAAATAAAGAAGAGCAACTTTTAACCAGACATGTTGTTCCACTTCCATCAGGCGTTGTACTGCTGTTGAGGATTTAGGGTATTCCTTTTTGGAATTGAGTTGAATCTGTTATTTTATTTTATTTTATTATTTGAGTGTATGATAATGATTGTTTTTTAAATTATTTTTTATTTGAAAATGTGTATTATAATAATATATATTTTTTATTTTTTAAAAATTATTTTGATATTATATATTAAAACAACAAATTTAAAATATATATACTTTTTTTTAAGAAAAAATACTATTTCAAACGATCTCAATTTATAAATTGATTTTTTTTAACTATCAATTTAAACAAACAAAAGTCAGACATGGATATCACAGGAGTGAACAAATCTTATGCTTTATATTTGACAGGTACGGGACATAACAGAACAATATCCTATAAAGCTAATTTCCTATACTCTCATGTATCTAAATATAGATATAAATATAATAATTTAATTATTTTTAATCATGTTCAGGTCATAAAATTAATCTATATTAAAATATAAATTGTTTTATATTATTTCATGAATTTTTACTTTATTTTCATAAATAAAATAATAATTTTCTCATTTTTTTTATAAAAATAATTTTTTAAAACAACCAATTTCTTTGTTTTTAATTTTTTATTCACTTTATTACTATATTTAGCTACTAATTTATTTATTTTCTAAATAAGTTATTTATTTCCTTATGAGCATATTTAATTGCTTTCATAAATAAACCTTTTACTTTATTTTATATATTTCATTATTAACAATATGGGAAATACGATTAAATAAGTTTTGTCCCATGAAACAGGACAAAAACTATTTTTTTTTCCTATTCTATATGCATATTAAAAACTTTATCAAATATTTTATGTTATCCCATTTTGTATTAAATAACTATTACATATCATTATAATTTTTTATATAAAAAACAAAGCTTATAATAATAATAATAAAGCATTGCTTGTCAAAATAATGAAAATTAATGAAAAGATAAAAGGGAGTTTTGTGTAAAAAATGCATTTTCCTTTTTAATTTAAATCATTTGAATTTTGAGGAGCTTCATTTTCATTTATTTTTTTATTTTTCATAAAGTATCACGATAAATATAATCAAGACATTATTTTTTGTTTCTTGGCTGAAAATTTCTTTACAAATCCTAATAGATTTTTATATGAAGAACTAAGCTTGTAATAAATAAATAAAAAGTACTGTCTGTTGAAAAAAAGAATTTTTATCTAAAAAATATATTTTGCTGAATTTTCACAAATTTTATTTTAATTTCTTTAAGACTGTATTGAAAAACCTTGTTGTTGATAAAAAAATCATGTCCACTTTAAATAGAAAATAAATTCATAAATAAGAAGACATAATTATGATTGAATGAATACATTTATTAAATGTTTTTGAATATTTATTTTCATAGAAATAAAATTAAATAAAAAAGAGTTTTGTGAATCATCTCATGGCACAGCTGGGGAAAAAAAACCAAAGTGAGACTTGTCGAGCTTCAAAAAGAAATGGTCCATTGGGTCCTAATCACGAGCCCCATTTTTGATAACCCTAAAAAGAGAAGCCCCTCTACTTGTTTATGAGCGTGTTTCAGTCCCTGTGAGAACCGAGAACCGGCGAGAGAGAGACTGGAGCAGGTTTGGGTTCAGCTCCTGCTTTGCAAATGATGATGATGCGGAGAAGCACCGTCACAGCTTCTGCTTTTCAGCTTCAACAACGACAAATGGAAATGGGTAATTTTCCTAAACTCCCTTCTTTCTTATTCTTCATTCACCAGCACATCACTACTTCTGCAGCTTCTACCACCAAAATTAGTCCTTCCTCGAGAAACAACGGTGGGTCTTGTAATAATTATAGCACACTTCATAGTGTTGCCGACGCCGTTGCTTCTTTCAATGAGTTGCTAAGCATGCGTCCAATGCCACCCGTTGTGGAATTTAACAAGTTATTAGGGTCCCTCGTGAAAAAGAAACATTACTCAACTGTAATTTCTCTCTGCAAACAAATGGATTTGTCAAATACCAGACCTGATGTGTATACTCTTACCATTTTGATTAACTGCTTCTGCCATTCCAACCATGATCATTTTCATTTTGCTTTCTCTGTTTTGGGTAACATGTTCAAACTTGGTCTTCAACCTAATCATGTCACTTTCAGTACCCTACTTAACGGCCTTTGCTCTAAGGCCAAAATCATTGATGCTGTAAAATTGTTTGATGAGATGGTAAAGATGGGGTACGAACCTGATGTGATTACTTATAGTACTCTAATTAATGGTTTGTGCAAAATGGGCAGCACGACCATGGCAATCCAGTTGCTCAGGAAGATGGAAGAAAGAGGTTGCATGCCAAATGTGGTGGTATATAGTACAATCATAGATAGCCTTTGCAAAGATAAACTCATAACTGAAGCCATGGAATTCCTATCTGAAATGGTCAATCGGGGCATTTCACCAAATGTTGTTACCTACAGCTCGATTCTGCATGGTTTTTGCAATTTGGGCCGATCAAATGAAGCAACAAGCTTGTTCAAGCAAATGGTTGAAAGGAATGTTATGCCAGATACGGTGACATTCAATATCTTGGTTGATGGACTTTCTAAAGAAGGGATGATTTTAGAAGCTCGGTGTGTTTTTGAAACGATGATTGAAAAGGGTGTGGAACCAAATGTTAACACTTACAATGCTTTGATGGATGGATACTGTTCGCAAAGCCAAATGGATGAGGCCCAAAAATTGCTCAACATCATGGATCGCCAGGGTTGTGCACCTAGTGTTCAAAGTTATAACATATTGATCAAGGGGCACTGTAAGAGTGGAAGGATTGATGAGGCAGAAGGACTCCTTGCTGAAATGTCTCATAAAGCATTGACTCCTGATACTGTCACTTTTAGTACTCTTATGAAAGGTTTTTGCCGAGATGGGAGACCTCAGGATGCACAGAAGCTTCTTAAGGAGATGTGTTCTTATGGCCTGCTTCCAGATTTGATGACCTACTCCATTGTGCTAGATGGCTTATGCAAACAAGGCCATTTGGATGAGGCATTCGAACTGCTCAAGGCAATGCAGGAGAGCAAGATAGAACCTAATATTTTCATTTATACCATCCTTATTCAAGGGATGTGCAATTTTGGCAAGCTTGAAGCTGCAGGGGAACTGTTCTCCAATCTTTTTGTTAGAGGAATACAACCTGACGTGGTTACATATACTGTTATGATCAGTGGACTTTTGAAAGGAGGACTACCAAGTGAAGCATGTGAGTTGTTTAGAGAAATGGCAGTTCGTGGCTGCTTGCCGAATAGTTGCACTTACAACGTTATAATCCAAGGATTTCTTCGAAACGGTGACACATCAAATGCAGGACGACTAATCGGAGAAATGGTTGGTAGAGGATTCTCTGCAGATTCGTCTACATTTCAGATGTTATCGGATCTGGAATCGAGGGATGAAATCATAAGTCTATTTATGTGTGCAAGCTCTCAAGGTAGAAAAATGAAGTAAAATCTTCCTATCAAGTGTAGTTTTCATCAAAATAGCTTTTTGTACACAAAAATATATTGTGAGAACGAAAACACCTTGCTAAATTAGAAAGAGCTAATTAGCATTTGAAAAACACTATAGCTGTAAAGACATTTACATTGCACTAGTGTAATGACTGGTGACTCTTCACTGGTTTTCAAGGGCATATAAGTATTTTCACATAACTCATTTGTTATTTTTAAATTGACTAGTGATAAACAAGAGTTTTTCATATTAATTGCATGATAAAATAACCAAAATATTTGTGGAAGTAAAAAAATTAAACCTGTCATGAAAAGCTATTTTTATGTTTCTCATAATGGGTTTTTTGTTATTATAATTTAAGTTGAAGGATATTTTGGTATTTATCCAAATATAATAAATAATAAATAGTTTAAATACATGGTAAAACTATCAAAAATGCCCTTCAAATAAAAAAATTAAACCTAAGATTAAGGGGTATTTTTGACTTCTCATAATAGTTTTTTTATAATTACAGAGTATTTTTATATTTAATTAAATTTATATTTAGTTAAATAAAAAAATAACGAATATTCGTATATGACATCCAAATTGTAATTACAAAGACGCATGCCTTTTAATATTCCAAAAATATTTATATTTCTCTTTCCTCTTATTAAAATATGAACTTCATTGTTTTTATTGTTTTTATTATTGATATTTCAACTATATTTTTTATTTTTTATTTTTTTATTTTATTTTTGAATATAAAATTTATTTATTTTTAATTTTATTTTTTAATTTATCAAATATTATATTCTTTTCATTTCTATCTTTTCTTTGTTTTTTTATAAAAAAATTATTAATTTATTAATTTTATTTTTCAATTAAATTGATAGTATTATATCTTTCAATTTAGTCTTTATTGTTTTAATTTTTAATTTTTCTCTAGATTCTTTTATAAAAGTTATTATTTTTTTCAATTTCACTTATTCATCATAACTTTATTTTTATTTTTGTGTTATTTTTTATCCTCATTTTCTTGATATTTTTTGATCTTTTTATTAAATTTATTTTTCTTTTTAATTTTACACTCTAATTAAATAATTTTTTAATTTTGATCTTCATTTTTTAATTTTTATTTTTATAATTGAATTTTTTTTTAATTTCAACCTTTAATATTAAATTAATCAAAAATTAGACTTTATAGTTTTTTTTTTCAATTAGATGACTTAGGTTTAATAAATTAGATTTCAGTTAGCATAAATTATTTTAAAAAAAATCTTCATAATCCTTTTTATTTTTTTTTAACCATAGTATTCAAATGCAAGTTTAGTAAAATATTCTAAATTAGCTTTCCTCTCATTATCAGATTTTCAGATTTATAATAACTGATTTTTTATATTATTTTTTATCTGGCATCTAAATATCTTTTTTTTTTTTTTGAAAAAAAAAGGGCCCCGCGCCGAGGCAAGCAATCCTAAAACGAAATGGTACATTGGGTTTTATGATGAGCGCAATTTGGAAAACCCTAATGCGAGAAGCCCCTCAGCGTGGGTGTTTCAGTCTCTTTGACAACCGCTAAATTAGCTTTCCTCTCTGGTAAAAAGCTCTCGGGAGCAGGTTTTGTTGGGCTCAGCTTCTGCTTTGCAAATGATGATGCGGAAAACCACCTTTACAGCGTCTGCTTCTCTCTTTGAGCTTCAACAACGACAGAAGGATATCGGTGTTTTTCCTAAATTCTCTTCTTTCTTATTCTTTTCTCACCAGCAAATCACTACTTCTACAGCTTCTACCACCAAAATTAGTCCTTCCTCGAGAAACAATGGTGGGTTTTGTAATAATTATAGCACTCTTCACAGTGTTGCCGACGCCGTTGCTTCTTTCAATGAGTTGCTTAGCATTCGTCCAATGCCACCCCTTGTGGAATTTAACCAGTTATTAGGGTCCCTTGTCAAAAAGAAACATTACTCAACTGTAATTTCTCTCTACAAACAAATGGATTTGTCAAATATCAGACCTGACGTGTATACTCTTACCATATTGATTAACTGCTTCTGCCACTCCAACCATGATCATTTTCATTTTGCTTTCTCTGCTTTTGGTAAAATGTTCAAACTTGGTCTTCCCCCTTCTAATGTCACTTTCAATACCCTATTTAACGGCCTTTTATCTAAGGCCAAAATCACTGATGCAGAAAAAATGTTTGTTGAGATGCTAAAGATGGGGTATGAACCTGATGTGATTACGTATAGCACGATAATTAATGGTTTATGCAGAGCCGGCAACACGACCAGGGCTCTTCATTTGATCAAGAAGATGGAAGAAAAAGGTTGTACGCCAGCAGTGGCGACATATAATACCATCATAGATAGCCTTTGCAAGGATAAACGGGTAAACCAAGCCACTGAATTCCTATTTGAAATGTTTGATCGGGGCATTCCACCAAATGTTGTTACTTACAGCTCGATTCTGCACGGCTTTTGCAACTTGGGTCGATTGAATGAAGCAACAAGTTTGTTCAATCAAATGGTTGAAAGGAATGTTATGCCAAATACAGTGACATTCACTATTTTGGTTGATGGACTCTGCAAAGAAGGGATGGTTTCAGAAGCTCGGTGTGTTTTTGAAAGGATGACTGAAAAGGGTGTAGAACCAAATGTTTACACTTACAATGCTTTGATGGATGGATACTGTTTAAGAAGCCAAATGGATGAGGCCCAAGAATTGTTCAACATCATGGTTCGCAAGGGTTGCGCACCTAGTGTTCGAAGTTATAACATATTGATCAAGGGGCACTGTAAGAGTGGAAGAATTGATGAGGCAAAAGGACTCCTTGCTGAAATGTCTCATAAAGCATTGACTCCGGATACTGTCACTTATAACACTCTTATGAAAGGTTTTTGCCATGCAGGGAGACTTCAGGATGCACAGAAGCTTTTTAAGGAGATGTGTTCGTATGGCCTGCTTCCGGATTTGATAACTTACTCGATTGTGCTAGATGGCTTATGCAAACATGGCCTTTTGGATGAGGCATTTAAAGTGCTCAAGGCAATGCAGGAGAGAAGGATAGAACCTGATATTTTCATTTATACTATCCTTCTTCGAGGAATGTGCAATTTTGGCAAGCTTGAAGCTGCAAGGGAACTGTTCTCCAATCTTCTTGTTAAAGGAATACAACCTGATGTGGTTACATATAATGTCATGATCAGTGGACTTTTGAAAGAAGGACTATCAACTGAAGCATGTGAGTTGTTTAGAAAGATGGCAGTTGATGGCTGCTTGCTGAATAGTTGCACTCACAACCTTATAATCCAAGGATTTCTTCGAAACGGTGACACATCAAATGCAGTACAACTAATCGAAGAGATGGCAGGTAGAGGGCTCTCTGCAGATTCATCTACATTTCAGATGTTATTGGATCTGGAATCTTATGATGGAATCATAAGACGGTTTCTACATGGAAACTCTCAAGGTAGAAAAATGAAGTGAAATTTTCCTATCAAGTGCAGTTTCCATGTATTGGCTTTCTTCAAAATAGTTAGTTTTTTGTACCCCTTCAAGTTACTGCACTCATATTTTCAGCTTTGATGAGTGATTTCTCAAATACGAATAGATGATCCATTAATTGTTTATACGCTGACAGTTTTTTATTTATTACATGTGCTTGAGACTATCAGAATGGAAAAATGGAAAGTAGCAGTTTCAAAGGGAATACAGTTGCCAATATCTGAATGTTGGTGATAATAAAATGGCATTGCAAATGAATTTTGCTAGTTGTAAACTTTTACCTTATTTTTGTATCTCTATATATAATCTTTCTGTTCAATGACTTAATGTGAACTTGTTTGATTTCCAGACTTGTTCTTGCTGGAAATTAATGCAAGCTTCACTATGAATATGCATTTGGTTAAAGGCAACCTACCATGTCATCAGATTGGAAGATGTTGCTGAATCTTCAGGAACTTCTGGATGTGGCATTTAATCATGTCCATGGAGGTTAATGGCAAGTTTAGTTTTGTAATTATATCTCAGTGATTACAGCCTTTTCTTGTTTTTGCCTTCTCTCGCCTCTTATAATATAAGAGATTATTGCTAGCATTATAAGAGAAACCTAGAATTTTATTTGAGAATAAATGTCGAATCAAACAATACTCAATGAAATACATCTTAAATATAATTTTATCTATCTTATTATAATAAATTTTGATTAAACTTTAAGAAAAAAACATCATGGAGGGCCGTGTAAAAAGATTGCTTCCTAATTTTACATAAAAAAGTCATAATCTTGAAAAAAAATTCAAAACCAAATAATATTTAATGAAATAATAATCTAAATAAAATTATTATCATTTTATTGAATTCTAATTAAAAAAAAAAAAACCCTAAAAGAGTTTAGACTCATGGGCCTAGATGGGTCAACTTCAGCTCCTAGTCCAAAACAAGAGGAAAGCTAGGCGTGTGTGAGTGTTTGTTAGACTTATGAATGCTATAAAAAAAGAAAAAAGAAAACCTACTTATTAATCTTTGTTAGACTTATGAATGTTATAAAAAAAGAAAAAAAAAGAAAAAAGAAAACCTACTTATTTATTTCAATACCAAACTTGGTCTTTAAAATCTTAATTATTTTTAAATAATAAAATAAAATTTTATTTTATTATATCATGCATCAATTTATCATCAAATTATCCATTTCAAACAATAGATCTAGGATGTAATGATAAAATAAATAAAAAAAATCAGTGACAAAAATAGTTTTTAGTGACATCTACGTGGATTTAGAAAACAGGTCCACTGGGTTCCTCTGGTTTATCCATTCATTACTAAAGACGAGAGAGAGACTGAACGGAAGTCTGGAGTTGTTAGAGTGAGAGATAGGCTCCTTAGGTTTGCTTTCACCTTCTTTATAAGGAACACTTGGAGACAGTATGCTTTCGCTTTCGCATTCGAACATGATGATGCGGAAAAGCACAGTCGCAGCTTCTGCTTCTTGTGCTTTTCAGCTTCTTCAACAGCGACAAATGGAAACGGGTACTTTTCCTAAATTCCCTTCTTTCTTATTCTTCATTCACCAGCACTTCACTACTTCTACAGCTTCTATCACCAATATTAGCCCTTCCTCCATAACAAATGGTGGGTTTTGTAGTAACTATAACAATCTTCATGGTGTTGCCGATGCCGTTGCTTCTTTCAACCAGTTGCTTAGCATTCGTCCATTGCCACCCGTTGTGGTGTTTAACAAGTTATTAGGGTCCCTTGTGAAAAAGAAACATTACTCTACTGTAATTTCCCTCTGCAAACAAATGGATTTGTCAAATATCAGACCTAATGTTTATACTCTTACCATTTTGATTAACTGCCTCTGCCACTCCAACCGTGATCATGTTCACTTTGCTTTCTCTGCTCTGGGTAAAATGTTCAAACTTGGTCTTCAACCTACTCATGTCACTTTCGGCACCCTACTTAACGGCCTTTGCTCTAAGGCCAAAATCATCGATGCTGTAAAATTATTTGATGAGATGGGAAAGATGGGTTTTGCACCTAGTTTGATTACTTATACTACTATAATTAAAGGTTTATGCAAAACCGGCCACACGACCAATGCACTTCAGTTGCTCAAGAAGATGGAAGAAAAAGGTTGTAAGCCAGATGTGGTGGCATATAATACAGTCATAGATAGCCTTTGTAAAGATAGACGGGTCAATGAAGCCATGGATTTGTTTTCTGAAATGGCGGATCAGGGCATTACACCAAATGTTGTTACCTACAGCTCAATTCTGCACGGTTTTTGCAATTTGGGTCAGTTGAATGAAGCAACAAGCTTGTTCAAACAAATGATTGGAAGGAATGTTATGCCAAATACGGTGACATTCACTATTTTGGTTGATGGACTCTGCAAAGAAGGGATGATTTTAGAAGCTCGGCGTGTCTTTGAAATGATGACTGAAAACGGTGTAGAACCAGATGCTTACACCTACAGTGCTTTGATGGACGGATACTGTTTACAAAGCCAAATGGATGAGGCCCAAAAATTGTTCGACATCATGGCTGGCAAGGGTTTTGCACCTAGTGTTCGGGTTTACAACATACTAATCAATGGGCACTGTAAGAGTAGAAGGCTGAATGAGGCGAAAACACTCCTTTCTGAAATGTATGACAGAGATTTGACTCCCGATACTGTCACTTACAGTACTCTTATGCAAGGTTTTTGCCAAGCAGGGAGACCTCAGGTTGCACAGAAGCTTTTTAAGGAAATGTGTTCTCATGGCCTGCTTCCAGATTCGATTACTTATTCGATTTTGCTAGATGGCTTATGCAAACATGGACATTTGGATGAGGCATTCGGGCTGCTCAAGGCAATGCAGGAGAGCAAGATAGAACCGCATATTTGCATTTATAATATCCTTATTCAAGGGATGTGCAATTTTGGCAAGCTTGAAGCTGCAAGGGAACTGTTCTCCAATCTTTTTGTTAAAGGAATACAACCTACTGTGGTTACATATACTGTCATGATCAGTGGACTTCTGAAAGAAGGACTATCAAATGAAGCATGTGAGTTGTTTAGGAAGATGGTAGTTAATGGCTGCTTGCCGAATAGTTGCACTTATAACGTTGCAATCCAAGGATTTCTTCGAAATGGTGACCCATCAAATGCAGTACGACTAATTGAAGAAATGGTTGGTAGAGGATTCTCTGCAGATTCGTCTACATTTCAGATGTTATTGGATCTGGAATCCAATGATGAAATCATAAGTCAATTTATGCGTCGAAGCTCTTAAGGTAGAGAAATTTTCCTATCAAGTGCAGCTGCAATGTATTGTCTTTATTCAAAATAATGAGATTTTTGTAAAACTTTCAAGTTATTGCACTTATATTTTCGGATTTGATGAGTGATTTCTCACGTTCCAGTGACTTCACAGTGACTCTTCTAGCACTAGAGCTGACATCATACTGTATTTGATTTGAATCTGTCTGTGTATAAATTATTTTTTGGATAATTTGTCTCATTTCTTGTACAAATTATTGTTTGAGTATTTTGATTTTGAATTTGTACCTAACATTTTTTCTTGTACTGATCTTAATAAAGAATTACATGAAAGTGTGCACCTGATGCTCTTGATCTTGTGCAACTAGCCATGTCCGCACCAGGTTATGCTGGAACTGATTTCTTTGACTTTGTTTATAAAGCTGGTGTTTCACTGTGGAGTGAATTACTTACCAGAGAGAGTGATATATCCAGAGAGTAGATTTCAAACATATGCAGCAGTTGCGGAAGCTACTTGGTTGCCATCACCATGGCTGATTTGAGATGTTCCAGAGCTGCATGCATCCGTTTGAAGTTTTGTTTTTAACTACAATCATCTGTGCTGATATGATGCTGCACATTCGCAAGAAGCAGCTAAGGCAATTCAACTCTCATTGAGAAGAGAAGGATTTTTTTTCCCCTTTCTAATGTAAAATGGGAAGATTGTGGCCAGTTTGACACTGCAAGGATGGAGTTTTACCTTAATCTAATTCAGCACATTAAATATTCCAAGCCCTGTCAGCCATCAAGTTACTTGAGTTTATGATTCTGGTACTGTTATGGCTTGATGGGATCTTATGTCTCCAATGCTCAGTGATTAAGTTTCGGCTCTCTTCATTTCAATATATTATATATTTTCCCAAGAAACACAACTCTATAACATGAAATCTCATTCTTTTATTTCTTGGGTTTATTTCACTTGTTTGGTTTACAACGGTTGTATAGTTTTCACTTTCCAGGCCGATTTCCAAGAACTGTAGAATTACCAAAATATTTTGGACTGTTTGATTTCAATTATCAAATAGGAGTTGCTTGTTCTGTATAATTGGCAAGATAGGATGGATAGTTAATAAAATATAGTAAAGATTATATGTTAATAAAAATATATAAGATTTTAAGTTAATTTTTAATGTAATAGAAGAATGAAACATTGTTGTAACTGCTGCTGTGAAATATTATTTTTTTAGTTTTTGTATAATAATTTTAAAAAAAAAAGTGTAAAGAAAGGAAATTAAAAAAGAAATTGAAAAAAAATAAAGATAAGAAAAAAATAGCATAAATAAATTCAGTATAGAGTGATAAATATTCAAAGTGTAAAAAATAAAAAATAATATTTTTTTCAAAAAAGATTGTAAAGAAAAAAAGGATAAAACTACAAAAAAATTAAAAAATAAAGATAAGAAAAAAAAAGGGTGATAAATAGACAAAATGTAAAATAAAAAAATACCAAGTATAAAGAAAAAAAAATATATATATAAAATATTTTCTATAAAAATTAGCAAAATTACAATTTTACCATTGCTACTGTAATAATATAAAAAAATTAGCAAAATCTATAATTTTTTCATTTCTACAATAAAACACCATTTTATTGTAGTATATAAATAACAATTTAATATGGCAATTTCACTGTTGTCTTTTATATGGGATTTCGATCTTTTAATGCTATTTATTTCATAATGATAATTAATCTATGTGTTTATTGGAGGAGTTGTTCTCCCATATGACATTTTAAGATTATTTTTTATATAATGGTACTTTCCCTCTATTCATTCCATCACTTTTTTTCAATAAAAAATCTCATTCAACCATAAAAGAAATATTAGTTTTCAAAAATAAAAAAAATAAAACATAACAAAAACTCAAACCCAACAAATAGTTTAATATTAAAATATATAAATATCTATTATGTAAAAACTTTGAACAACTAATTGAAATAACCTATATAAAAAAGCTAGAACACTTGTTTGCTTTAGTTTCTTAATTAAGAATTTAAAATGTTAATTAATTATCTTGATTTGTGTAATCCAAATATAGAGTAAAAAAATGCTTACTATTTTTTTTTAGCTCCCTAAAGTTCTTAGTTACCTTTGCTTTGGTCATTGATTTTATGTTTTGGGATTTGATTTTGGTTTGTGTGCTCTTTTATATGTGAGGTGTTGGATAATATTTTGACATTAAATGAAAAATCGATTTTACAAGATAAAATTTTAAGTTATTCTTAAAAAAATTTAAAAAACAAGATCTAAATTAACATAAATAAAAAACCAAAGCTTTGTTTTTATCTGTATTGTTCAGGAGGCATGAAAAACTTCGATTTAATCTCTTAATTTGTAATTTTTTTCATAAATTAGTCCTTGTTATTCAAGGATTTTATGTTTGAGACTTAACTTTAATTTTTTCATGTCTTTAGCCCGAAATATTAAGACCGGAATATTGGCTACATTCTAGCACGATAAAAGGCTGATATTGGCACATTCGTCCTGGAGAGTAAAGTTTAATGTGAGTGGATGAAAAAAATAGATCGGGGCTCGTTGAATTTTTTGAATTTTGTTTGAATTATTTTAGCTTGAAATTAATTTTTTTATTTTTTAAATTATTTTAATGTGTTAATGTTAAAAATAATTTTTTTAAAATAAAAAAAATATTACTTTAATATAGATAAATATATATCTAAATAAAAAGATATTTTAAAAAATAACTTTTGCTGCACTTCCAGAAAAGCATTTAGATAATATAATTTAACGTAGATGGTTGTTTCCTTCAAACATTCTAATAAAAATAGAATGAGGGTCGGTGAATTTTTATATTTTATTTGATTTTTTATTTTTAAGGTGAATAGATATTGTTTTAGGGTTAAAAGAGATTTATTAAGATTTTAATGGTATTTTTATATGAATACGAATTGAAAATTATTTTTTAAAATTCTAAAAATTCAGATCCTAATTTTTTTAATAACCTCCAGTAATTACAAAATAAACTAGTGGATGACACATCAGACATTTACACGTTATCCATCATATATATATATATATAGAGCCATTTTTGTTTTTAAAAAGTATATATCTTTCTGGGCATAGCTACGCTTGACTTATTTTTCAAAAAGGAATTTCGGCCAATACCTTTTATTTTCTTTATTTAGAATTTCTTCAAATAAAATTATTAAGATGATATTTAAAAATAATTACATACTTACTCCATAATTTTTAAATAAGATTCTAGTTTTCATGATAATATTATCAACTATTTTATGAATAATTATATATGAATTTAAAAAAAATATTGAGGAATATTAAGTGATTAGAACATATCTTTTTTTCTATTTTTATTTTCATTTTTTAATTTATCATAAATTAATTATTCTTTTATTTTTTCATGCAGTCATGTAAAAAATATTAAGGGCATGCTTTTTTATTTATTTATTGAACCTATCTTAAGTTTTTATTTTATTTTATATAATTTGCTTTTTATAAAAAAAAATGTTTCTATCATAAAGAGACAAAAATTAATAAAAAAAAAAATTTGGACCTAAAACTATATTTTTTAAAGGTGAATATAAATAACTGAATTGTTATGAATATTTATTTTAAAATCAGGTAAATATAGGTTTTGAGCATGACCATGCAGCACCTAGTTTTTTTATTTATTATTATTAGTTTTTTTAATTTATTTTTTAGTTAATATCCTTTCTCTTACTTTTTAAATTATTTAATTTAACTATTTTTAAAATAGAGATAAATCTTTTGGATGATTTTTGTAATATCATACTTCTAAGAGATTATTATAATTTATCTTTATTTTTTTTCCTATTAGATTTAAGATAAATACGTTGTATTCGCATTGTATATAAGAACAAACTCTTTATTAGGAAAATTAAATTCCCATTTTAGTCTAATTAGCATTCATGATTTTTCTTAATTTATCAGTAAATATATTTTTTTAATTCATTGTATTAGACACAAACATTATCTTTCCATTTCCAGTTAACAAGTCTCATGATACCAAAATACATATCCATGATCCACAATGTGGCAAGAGTATATTGACTACAGATGTAATAATTATATTTTAAAAATTTCAAATGAAATAACTTTGTTAAATATATAGGATGGGGGAGGAATACTATAGCTATAGATACAAAACACTACGAGTTATAATAATAATTTGACAATTTTATCCTTTCCCAAATTAACTTACAAGGCTAAGTTAAGGGGTAAAATGAATTTTTTCACGGGATCCATTTTTCTTTAACCTTTTCATTGGCGGTACAAAGGTCTTTTCCTATTTTTTAGAATAGTGAAATGCTTTCACTTTCCTTAAAAGCAAGAACCATGTAATTGGTTGCAGGTTTTTTTTTTTTTTGGGGATTTCAATTGTTTTGTATAGTTTAATTACTAATTTACCTTGAAATAGAAAAAAAAAGGCTTGCTTTGGGGGATTTTTTTTAAAAATTTTCATGCTAGGCTTTTGTGTTATAAAAAAATGAGTTGAGGGGTCACTTAACATTTTACATTAATTAAAAATTATTAATTTTCAAAATTTAGTAGTTGTGTGCCATTGATGTTGAAGCACGTGGAAAGATTTTGTCATGTTTAGAAAATATATACAATGTTGTATGATGATGAAAAATCATATTTCATTATGTCATTAGATTTCTTGTAGTGTTGTGTGTGTTTGGTTTTTCAGGATAGAATGTTGTTAGAATTATTTTTTTCTTCTTTTTTTTTTCTCTCTTTTTTATTAAAATTAATGTTTGGCAATAAAAAATTTAAATAGTCCTCTTAGTTTGACATGTTTAAATATCAATCCTTATTCTTTTAATTTGTTATTTTTATTTTGGCTATCTTTATAAGTTTTTGTTTTATTTTTAATTTTATTTTTCAATCTAGATTTTTTGTTTTTAGTATTTTTAGATTTGGTCATGGTTCTTTTTTTCTTCTCATTCTTCTTCTCATTTTTTTTTATAAACTTCCAATTTTTTTTCATTTCATCATTTAATTAAAATATTTAATTTATTTTTTTAAAAAAATTTAATCCTCATTTTTTGGGTGGTTTCTTTTTTTATTTCTTTTATAAAATTGATTTTTATTTTCAATTTAGCCCTCTAATTCAAAATTATTCATCCTCTCATTTCATTCTTTAAATTAATATTTTATATTTTTTATGATTTGATTTTTTTTAATTTTATTTATTGACATTTGATTTTTTAAAGTTTGAGATTCATGATTTTTTTAAGTTTGATATTTCTAATTAGATGATTCAGATCACGAGTTTTATAAACTAACACAAATTTCTATTTTTTTATGGACTTATTTTCTTTTTCGATCTCATTACTAAACATTGAGTTATATATATATAAAAAACTTCATGGTTTTTTTTATTTATTTTTTCATAAAGTTAACCTGATCTCATGATATAACCTGTGAGTTTAGCTGGTTAATTCAAGTAGGTTCGCCCCTCTTTTTTTTATCCGGAGTCCTTTTGTGTTATTTAATTGTTTTTGTTTTTAATTTTTATTATTTAATATTTTATTTGTTAAGAAATAACTTTCATGGTTTTTATGCTTCAAATAAAATGACTTTGAGCCTGGGTTTTACAAGTTATCAATTGTTCACATCATTTTTTTTTTAAATTAAGTTTCATGGTTTTTTTAATATTTTTTGTTGTTGAGTTATTTTAATTTTATAACTTGATTTATAGATTGGACAAATCAACTTGGGTAAGCTCAAAAGATTTTTTTTACATTAATGATTATTATTTTTTAATTTTTTTTATGTTAGTTTTTGTTTTATTAATTTCATTATTCAATTTAATTTACTAATAATTAAATTTCAATGTTTTTTTTATTTTAGTTGCTTTCGATATCAAATTATCGGGTCGGGTTTTTCCTTGAACTTGGATTCCATCGCAGTATGAAAATCCTTGGTTCTCTAACCCTTCCCCTTCAAGACGATCCTTGTCCCCATGGTCGTAGATTTATCATAGGGATGTCTTCCCGCGTAACTTCTTCTTTCTCATTCTTCTTCTTCTCGGTAGGATCAAAAGGGGCAAGCAGAGCATGGCTCTTGGACCTTAAATTAGCCTTGAGCGATTTCACGAACAAGGCATTGAAATGGCAACTTGCGGATCAAACGCCCAGTGCTCTTGGCGTATCCTAGGATTTCATGGTACGCAACAGTTCCAGGGTGATAATGGCGAGGACGAGGCTTCCTTGACTCGATCCGTAGTATGGGCATGTTTCCTTGCAGCCTTGGCAGAATCAGAAAAACAAGGATAAGCAAGACCATTATTTTTAAGGGCAAGCTTGGCCGCTCCCATTTTCCTCTTTTTGGGTAACTTATTCTCTGTTCTTAGCTTCTCGAAATTTATTTCCTCGATCCTATTTTGAGCCAGACTTGCTACCTGTGAAAGAAATCTTTCGACCAGAATCAATACTTTTGTTGCGATGATTCAGAAGCTTCATTATCATCTCCTCATTCGTTGTTGTTGTTCTTGAAACCAGGGATTGCCATGCCTGGTTCTCTCAATGGAAGCACCAAGGATGGAAACTCAAAAAACAAAGATACATTCAAAGGTGTTTGATAAGTTTTTTGCTCAATGAAGTTGTTAGATATTAGCTATAATTTGTGCGTAGAAATTCTTGATAAAAAAATAATTGTGCTAGAATAGTTAATTAAAATCTTTGTTTAATTAGTTAATTAGATTTTTTATTAGATTATGATAGTGAGATATTTATAATCTATAAGGCCCTTAGATATATATATATAAATAATTTAATAATATTATAAAACTGTATTGACAATGTGTAGATCAATCTATACAAGTTAATTGGGAGGTTAATCCAAATATTTGTGTATTTTATTTCTCGTATCCTACCTACCCTAACAATGATTTTAATAAAAAGAGAATTGCAATTGCTAATAATAATCTTAATCTAAGACATATTCTAAGAAAGTTGTAATCTTAGCTCAAAACTCATACAACTTGTTTGAACTCAAAGTTTATACAAAACTAAATTATATATTGAATTGAATTAATAATTTATTATAATTTTTATATTTAAAATAAAATATTAAATTACAGAATAATTTATTGATACTTTTTTGATAGTTTGGATTTTCTGGATGGCTAGATTTTTTGGATGTTTTAAAATTTACTATAAATACATATTTTATAACTTTATTTTGATAAAATAAAAAATAAAAAATAAAAAATAAAAGAATCCTTACTTGTATTGATGCAAGTACATTGTTGAACTGCATTATAAATCTTGTATTTTTTATGATTTATCTCTTATTGTAATATTCATTAATAATTGCTGCATGTTTTTTCACAACTACAAAATTAAATTTAATTATACTATTTGAATTTTTTAAAAATTTAAATAGAATTAATAATCTTGATTATTTTATTTTTAATTTAAAAATTATTTTTATTATAAAAATCATTTATTTTTATTACAAGTACTGTTATATTTATTTAAAATAACATAGAATAGAGGCATCTTAAAGAAGGTATAAATATGCCATCTCATATTATTTTTTATTAAATTTGTTGCAAAAAAACTGAAAAAACATGTATTTACTAAAAAAAAAAAGCCTTTTTAATCAAAACTTTTTAAAATATTTAAAAAATGTTTTTTTAGAAATATTCCAATAAAAATTAATGAGTTTTCACTCAAACTCAAACCGAACCAACATGGTAGATACATGTTGCAAGAATCTACCTTGTCCCCGATTTCTTTTCTTACTCTTCTTCTTTCTCATTCTTCTTCTTCTTCTTCTCGATAGGATCAAAAGGGGCAAGCATAGCATGGCTCTTGAACCTTAAATTAGCCTAGAGCGATTTCACAAACAAGGCATTGAAATGGCCACTTGCGGATCAAACGCCCAGTGCTCTTGGCGCACCTTAGGATTTCATGGAAAGCAACAGTTCCAGGGTGATAATGGCGAGGGAGAGGCTTCCTTGACTCCATCCGTAGTTTGGGCATATTTCCTTGCAGCCTTGGCAGAATCAGAGAAACAAGGATAAGCAAGATCATTGTTTTCAAGGGCAAGCTTGGCTGCTCCTATGTTCCTCTTTTTGGGTAACTTATTCTCTGTTCTTAGCTTCTCAAAATTTCTTTCCTCGATCCTATTTTGAGCTAGACTTGCTACCTGTGAAAGAAATCTTTCGACCAGAATCAATACTTTTGTTGCGATGATTCAGAAGCTTCATTATCATCTCCTCATTCGTTGTTGTTGTTCTTGAAACCAGGGATGCCATGCCTGGTTCTCTCAATGGAAGCACCAAGGATGGAAACTCAAAAAACAAAGATACATTCAAAGGTGTTTGATAAGTTTTTTGCTCAATGAAGTTGTTAGATATTAGCTATAATTTGTGCGTAGAAATTCTTGATAAAAAAATAATTGTGCTAGAATAGTTAATTAAAATCTTTGTTTAATTAGTTAATTAGATTTTTTATTAGATTATGACAATGAGAGTTATAATCTATAAGGCCCTTATATATATAAAAATATTTAATAATATTATAAAACTGTATTGAAAATGTGTAGATCAATCTATACAAGTTAATTGGGAGGTTAATCCAAATATTTGTGTATTTTATTTCTCCGTATCCTACCCTAACAATGATTTTAATAAAAAGAAAATTGCAATTGCTATTAATAATCTTAATCTAAGACATAATCTAAGAAAGTTACTTATAATCTTAACTCAATACTCGTGCAACTTGTTTGAACTCAAAATTTATACAGAACTAAATTATATATTGAATTGAATCAATAATTTATTATAATTTTTATATTTAAAATAAAATATTAAATTACAGAATAATTTATTGATACTTTTTTGATAGTTTGGATTTTCTGGATGGCTAGATTTTTTGGATGTTTTAAAATTTACTATAAATACATATTTTATAACTTTATTTTGATAAAATAAAAAATAAAAGAATATCAATGCAAGTATATTGTTGAACTGCATTAAATCTTGTATTCTTTATGATTTATCTCTTATTGTAATATTTATTAATAATTACTGCATATTTTTTCACAACTATAAAATTAAATTTAGTTATACTATTTGAATTTTTTAAAAATTTAAATAGAATTAATAATCTTGATTATTTTATTTTTAATTTAAAAATTATTTTTATTATAAAAATCATTTATTTTTATTACAAGTACTGTTATATTTATTTAAAATAACATAGAATAGAGGCATCTTAAAGAAGGTATAAATATGCCATCTCATATTATTTTTTATTAAATTTGTTGCAAAAAAACTGAAAAAACATGTATTTACTAAAAAAAAAGCCTTTTTAATCAAACTTTTTAAAATATTAAAAAATGTTTTTTAGAAATAGTACAATAAAAACCAAACCAGCATGGTACATACATGTTGCAAGAATCTACCTTGTCCCTGATTTCTTTTCTTTAAACACCCAAAACAAATCAACCATAATATTGCCATCAATCTTCCATCTCCCTTTGTGTTCTTTTTATTGTATTGCATTCTTAGTTGGTTCATTTACGTTAAAAAAAAGTTTGAGTGTATTAATTTTTAAAATATTTGTTTTAAAGTATATTAAAATAATATATTTTTTATTTTTTAAAAAATATTTATAACATTAGCAATAAGAAAAACTTAATTTAAATAAATAAAATTAATTTAAAAAAAATACTCTTAAGACATAAAAGCAAATTAAATCTAAATCTCCAGTCATATTCTCTTCCGAGAAACTAAACAACATAATAATAAAATTCGAAACTTTCTATCTTTTACTTGAATATCAAAAGGAAGCCAGGAGGAACCACCAACTTGTTGGAAGCTTTTGATAATCTTGCCAAGATTCTTTCCCACTTCAAGCTATTTCTTGGGCTCAAAAACCAAAGCAGCCACTCCAGCAATAACAACTAGTTTAGGCACTCCTAGAACAAACAAAGCATTGCAAGTTAGAACCTGTTTAACCCTCGGATTTCTACTCGCGTGTTTTCCTAAGAACTAGAGAATTACAGGAGCTGGTTTAGTCGAAGAAAACAATGGTGTTAAAAAAAGTGGAGCTAGAAGATGGGACGGGAAAAAGAGGATGGGGGAGTTTTGGAAGAGATAGAGTTATTTTTGGAAGGAAAGAGAGAGGTGAATATTTTTGGAATATTATCTTCAATGATAATTTTAATAGTATTTGACAGCGGTTATATGAGAAGCATGCAAACCCTTGATTTCTTTCCCTTTTCTCTTTGTTGGGTCGATGTTTGATTTTGAATCAACATCTTATCTTTCTTTCTTTTTGATTCGCTGGCTTGATATGTCATTGATTTTGGAAATGCTAGTATTGGGATCTTCCGAACCCATCTGCTAGAATTGATATGATGGGAATGTGGAGGTGGAATCCATGTTGTATGGGATCAAAGCTACTAGACACACAGCGAGAAGTCGTTCTGTTTGGTGATTTCGTTTGAAGCACATTGGTAAAAGATTTTTATCAAGTCATTGTTTCTGATTTCTTATGGAGTTTTTGTACCTTGCAGAAATCATTTGGAAAAACTATTAGGCTGACAAGGTATTTTCTTCCATGACTTGACACAGGGTACTCACAGAACCTTAACGTGTTGCTGCTTGAATGTTTTTGTGCTGTAAACTTGTGATCCATGATGCTCCTGTTCTTATTCTATGTGTATGTTATTAACAATCTAAGCGTCGGATATAATCACTAGTTTCTTTTATAATGTATACTCGGTAAAATCATCGCAAGAGCTACAAAGTTGGATTGGGATTTTTCATTTCTCAAAACTCCAACATAAAATCATTGCAAGAGCTACAAAGTTGGATTGGGATTTTTCATTTCTCAAAACTCCAACATAAAATCATTGCAAGAGCTACAAAGTTGGATTGGGATTTTTCATTTCTCAAAACTCCAACATAAAATCATTGCAAGAGCTACAAAGTTGGATTGGGATTTTTCATTTCTCAAAACTCCAACATGTGCCTTCTTTTGTTAATTCGGTTATGTGCGCTTCAAGCTTGAAAACTAATCATAAATGACTATGTCATCTGTCTATAATTAAAAGCTAGTAGAGATGCTTCATCTTTGACTCTATCAGTAGTATTAGAATTTTAGTTTCACAAAAGGGATGAAATGAAATTTAAAATGATACGAGATTGTGATTGCATTTCAATGAACACTATTTGTTTGAGTTTATGTGCTATCAATTTGAAAGTATATGAGGAAAAAAACATCCTATTATCCTTGCAGTTCTAATAGTTTAAAGGATAAACTATTATCGGTGTTGAAAATAACATGAACTTATAAATGCTTGTGTCATCTGGCACCTTCCCATGAGGAAATTTTTAACAGTTCTCATGTTGGAAATTTTCAAGTGACCAGGGCTTGTGCAATTCAAGTGCAAGCACTCAATCATTGAAAAGAAATATGAAATAAATTTATACTATAACATAAAGACAGCTACTATATTTCTCCATGTTTAATTTTACTCGAAATAACAGAGCAATTCAATGGCATTAATTGAGGCCAGAACTATTATCCAACTCTTCACAGTTTCACTTTCTTACAAATTTTTAAACTCGTTGCAGTAATCTTCTTCATTTAGGGATTTTTCATGTTTGACTGCTTAGAATAGAGATTCACTGAATATAGATGCATAATTTTAAGTTCTAGAATGCGTTGGGCCAGTCTGGGATAACCTTGATTTATGAAAAACTTATCTTGCTGATGCCAAACGAGATAAGTTCTAAGCTGTTCCTTTATCCGTGAACTTTCCTTTTGTTGTTTACTTTAGTAGGCTCATTGGATTTTAGCCCCATTTCTATTCAAATTACTAAAACTCGAATACTTTCGCTGTACAATTTTAGGATATTCTTTAATTACAAATTTCCATTTTGTGTACTGCTATAGTGATAAGATTTACTTGTTTTTCCGTAACGGCTGAGAAAATATATGGAAGGATATTGAGGTTACCATTTACAAAATAGTATGGTTGCGTGCTAGATGGGGGCCACACGCCTATAAATCAATGTTATTCTCCTCACCATTTCTCAATCTCATTGAAGGAAAACCACTCTCCATTGTGTATAAATTTTTGAAGTGCCGATCTAGTGCCTCCAAGGCTTTCAGTGAAGTTCAAACCTTGTGTGTTGTTGAGACTCTGCTTATTATGTTGTCCCATGGTGATAGCCATTCCTCTTTTTGTCGTCTTTGTGTTGAGGCAGCTATGAAAAAGCTAGCTGACCCTGGGAACACAGATTTTGACAAGCACTTGGCTGAACACAAGGCCACTCTGGATAAGCTTAACAAACAGTATATTGATATCCTCAAAGAATTGGATGCCCAAAAGCGGCGAGGGAAGGAACTTGAGGAGCTGGAGAAGGTGGCCCGTAGCAAGTCTAAGTTTGGTGCGCCAATTAATGAACTCAACTTGCACGAGTTGGAAATGCTACGGAAGTCCTTGGAAGAAGTTAAGGAAAACATATTGAAGCAAATTGAGAAGATTTCTGCGGACAATGAAAATCCAACCTCATCCTCCTCTGCAAATATCGCTGGAGTCATCAATCCTTCTGTGAGTAGCTCTGCCAGGCGTTCTTTCTCTGCTGATGTCAATGACCATGATGATGGCCATGGACACTAACTGTCTTAAATCTGAGACTAGGAAATAAAATGGATTTGCTATCATCCTGTTTCTCTTTTGAGTTTCATATGTATGTTAGTAGTCGCACTCTTTTCAGTGGACAGCAGTGTGTGAATGTCATAGACATCAAATGTCTGCAGATGTGCACTTTGAATAAATATTAGATGAACTGGTCGCTCGTAGTCTTATTTCTTTTTGATATGATGCTGGATTACTTGTCATAAATGAACTCATCCTATAGTGTTTGCTTTGATTGAAGAATAAATGTTCAGATTGTTTTGGGAGAATGTTTGTGGATGAGGGGAGCTAATAATCATTGATTGAGGCACAGTCTGTTGTCCTTTTGGTAGTGAGCAGATGTGAGAAATTTAATGCTTGTCATATCTGATATGAGTGCAAATTAGGCACCACTGCTTGTGCTTTATAGCTCTATCAATTCAACTGACTCTGTTGCTATGATCACACAAATTGGTAATAGAGAGGTCAATTTGGTTTATGAAATGGAGAATGGTGAACACTTTGCACTGGAGTATTTCAAATACAAACTGATAGTGTGGTGATTTAATTGGATTTTATTTGGGTATACATGCACGATCCCAGTTTCTAATTCAGAGCTTTTTAGCATTAGTCATATGAGAGAGGGAGAGTCAACTATTTAGCAATTCTTAGATTTTATCTTATCGGTGAATGTCTGCAGTTATGCTAGCATCTTTTATTGCAGATGCATAGGGTGTTAATATATATTCTATTCCTTAATTTGCTTGCATTCTCAGAAGGTTCTCTGTTGCAAATGATTCTTACTGAGAAAACCAATTTACAAGATGAAATATAAGTTGATGTTGATTTATTTGCCAGCATTTCATGCATGCATTGTGACTGTTTGTATACTTTCATACTTTCTTTTCTGCTCATAATTCTATTACGTTAAAGATTTTTATATGTTGCTTTTTCTTCCATTGAGAAAAAACCACACTGAATAACCTTCAGGTTTAGAAATCTTAACCAACTTTATTTAAGCCACTCAACAGACTTAATTTTGTCTGAATAAATTACTCTTCTTATGATAAATCACTGTATGAACTAAATTTCTCTTTCATGATGATATCTCTAGTTTCTAGCGCATACATGTGCATCTGATTGACGCTCCTTAGAGAAGTTGCTTTCTCTGGTCCACCACCCCTCGAGGAGACTTGTTGGCATTTTTGGTTATCTGTAGCTAGTGGAGAAGTTTTATTTTCAATTATAAACCAGAATGCCACGCTTCCTTCAATGGTTACCATCGCTGGTTATCTGCAGTTTTATGCGTTATTTCCCCACACTAACTGCTTGCTTTTCCCATTTAAAAAGCTCTAGTCTGTTCTGCTATAATTAATTTCTTTCCTCCATTTGGTTGTGGTGTTGATTGATTTTTTCTGTATTTCATGCACTTAAGGCTTGCTATGTTTCATTTTATACGATTTCTCAATTCTATAAATCTATGCTAGAGTGATGACAAATCTCATACTTATCTGAAAGGATAGAAATTTATTTCAGAAATTAAGTTTATAAAGAAGGCGAGTATAATTTAGTTTCAGTTCTAATTGAGAGCATAGAGGTGATAGAGTAGACCGAAGGCATAATCAAATTAATTGAATCAAGCTCTTATGTACATACATAATAAAGTACGGGTACTTTTTAACTTTCAATTATGTTTTTTCCCTGCATGGTATCCCTTGTAACAAAAGTGGATGGCAAATATTGTTGCTTTGGCTTTCTATTTTTCTGTGCCCAGCCTATATGCAAGATATAACTGTAAATACATTTAGAAGACAGAACACAAAGATTGAGGAACAGCACAGAATACTATTCACACTGCATGATCATGGATCCAAAAAAGGTAAGCATGAAAGAAGATGATTCATCAAGGTAAGTCGTCGATATTTTTTTTTTCACTGAAGAAATTAATGGTGAAAGTTTATTTGGTGTTTTCAGTTTATTTTAGATTTCCTTATGGAGCTTGTCAGTTTTAACTATGGTGCTTTGTTGCACTACACCTAAGCTCATTGTTCTTTCGCATGCCTTCTGTTACCTAACTCAGCTTTTATTCAGTTCTATGCATTTTTGTTGATGTTTTTCTTTCTGAATTGAGGGGCAGGGCAAGTGTTGAGAAATGTAGCCTGTAGATTGCAAGCAATGACTATTACAAACCAGCACCATTTTTGTAGCTACGCCAAAAAAAGGGAGCTTATTATTATTTTTCTTTCATAATCATGCAGCCATCTTTCTTATCACTTTTACTTTACCTCTTATGCAGGAAACATAGAAAACTGCTTAATGTATTTAGCTTGAGATCTAGTTTCATAGTATTCCTCATCTAGTGTGCCTGTGTTGGTGTAACTGAGCAATGAATACTGCTTGTGATTTTCCATGAGAATTGAGAAAGGTGTGCTATTTCAAGATACTGTGAAAGCGTGTCGGTGCTAATTAAGCTGTTTTATAATCATCTCAAGTTCTTTGTCACTTGCATATATGATGACATGAGTCCAATGGGGTAACAATAGTGGCTTTTTGGATTCAAAATGGATGTAGCAACATGTAGTGGAGAAACCTGACAATGACATGAATTATACCAAAATGTCTCTCTTTCACTGTTTTCTATTACCTTGTGTCCATGTTGTCATGGCTCCAAACTAGCAGATCTCTAATCTTTTTCAATGTTTAATGTAGAAGATGACAGGATGTGTATGGCAACAGGAAAATCTCACATAGGAAAGCCATAAGCTGGAAGGCAAGGCAAGGCAAGCATGTAGAAGATGAATGGATGTGGGACTTACACGCACGGGGTCAATGGGTGATCAGAAGGCTCGTGGCCTAGGTTAGTGACCTCCAGTGCACTCAGGAGGGGTGCTGGTCTGAGCTCTCCCCAAGTGGGGGAGCCTACGTCAAGATTTAGCTGAACCAGTCACTGCCCCTGCCCAGTTCTAGTTTAGAAAATTTGAGTTAATACGAAGAGCCAATATGCAAACTTGATAATCTAGATGCATAGCATCGATGTATCAGATTGATAATGTTAAGAACTTTATGAAAACAACCCATTAGTTTGATTTATGTGTATATAGAAAATCTGAAATTGGGTGATCTGTCTCTAGTTGAAGATCATGGTTTTTGCCTCATGTCTAATGGAGTCAAAAACAACTCAAGATGGATAGCTCTCCTGGCGAAAACAACCCATAACAGCAAGCGAAAACAAATATAATGCTTAGCGGAGTTGGTTGAGACGCATCCAACTATAGGTTTTGTGATCTTAGAAAGTAAACAGAGAAATCATTATTTAACTAAGTAATGGAGTAGGAAATGAGTTTGAATTAGCATTAACAGGCGGGAGACCTTCCAACACTTGGTGTTCAATCATTTTCTGGCCTGTTTGCTAATCTCATCGCCACAACTGCTGTGGGGAACAGTACTCAAGGCATACAAAAGAACACTAAGAGCAGCTCTAACGGACGAGCTATATGAAAAGTTAAAAGTGTTTTGTCATTTATTTTATGGAAAGCTAAAAGTATTTTGCTATTTTTTTTTTTTTGTTCATGTTTCAACGGGTAAGCTAAATAAATAGTCATTTTGACTATTTGTTTTGTTAATAGTTATTTCTACATTTAACTGTAGAAATGGCTAAAACAATAGCCGTTGGCCAATAATTTTTTCAAAATTTAAATTTGAATTTACTTTTTAAAAATTAAATTTTTAACAATAACATATAAAACTTAAAATTAAAAACATTGATATAAATAAATTTTAAATTATATTTTTTAACTTTTATATTACTTCATTAATTTTATATTACTTTTATAAATTATTCATATTAATTATGTAATTAATAACATCATAATTATATTATATATAAAATATTTAAAATAGTTATATAATTATATTAAAATTAATTTAACATGAAATATATTAAAATATAAATGGCTTTTCTATATAGCTTTTTACCATTGGAATGTATATAATTTAAAAATCTATATTTATACTATTTAAAAAGCTATTTTTTTTATTTGGCTCTTCAATATAATATTTTTCATTAGAGATGCTTTTAGAAAGATATTGATTCTTTATTTTTATAAATATTAATAGACTATGTTAAAATAATTGTGTATCAAATATATTAAAATACAATTAACTCTTTTAAATAGCTTCTTATCATTTAAATGCACATCAACAAAAAAGCTATATCTACATTATTCAAAAAGTTATATTATCAATTTAGTTCTTCTAAAAAGCATCTTTAGTTGGAGATGCTCTAATTCGGGAGATGCTCTAAGAATTGGGGGGAAGAGGAAATATATCTTAGACTCTGAATTTTTTGGCTTTAGTCCCAATGGAGATGGATCCTAAAATAGGTGTGTTAAAATGACAGTAGTCCATGCCAGCACACCCTCTTTCAAAGAAAGCAGTTTCTATAGCTTCATCACCTGATACCCAAATGGAACCAGTAGCAAGAAAGTAACAGAAGGGTCTTGTCACTAATTTACATTTCCTACTCCAGCTCTTGGTTCCATCAAATGGTCTGATTTGTATTCAGTAGGGTCACGATATCAGATATCCCACATCGAAAACAAAGGAACTGAGCTTCCATCAAGTGCTTATAAAAAGAAAAGCTAACAACGGGTAAAACTCACGCAGCCGCGCGGTGCGCACAGAGCGAACTATTCTTTCGCCTTTTACTAAAGAATACCGTGTGCGCGCCGCAGATAGCGGCATACGCTTATTTTTGGAGGGTTGTCTTCGTAAGAATGAGAGCCCCAACAACTCAAGTATGAAGTTTGTCCCTGCGTTTGGAGTTTTAATAATCCGAGCCTGATATGAAATACGAGGAGTAGGTATTCTATAATAATCGCTAGGCTACAATTTAATTGGAAAGGGTTAGTTTCAGTTTTAAATGCTGGGAAGAAGGTCGGATTTATTCTTGAGCCCTAATTTTATCATCCTTTCCCTACTAGCGTCGTTTTCCTCTTTCTTCTGTATTCTCCTTTCATCTTATCATTTCGGAATTAACAGAGCCCAGGTTTACTCTCTCTAGAACGAGGGCTTTTTCAATGCGGTATGAGATTTGTTTGGGAATAGAATTTAGACTTCATGAGACATGCTCTAAATTGCTTGTTCTTGTGTATTTTTCTTGCTCTTTTGATTCCATCCCCATGAGAACAATTTCGTAGTTTCAAAATAAAAGCCTTGAAAATTGACGCTGCTAAAAGGTTAGCAGTGTCAACTGTCACCAACTGCTCCAGAGTGAAGTACTTAAGAGAGAAATGTTCAACAAAATATGTATCCAGAGTCGGCTATGCAACTGCAAATACTCCAAGCAGCATAAGGCATCGCATTCTGCTGTTGCTGCATGAGTTTTATGACCTTGTCATCTGCTGTAAATCAATCCTTGTTGCGGTCAAATATGAGTTGGTATTTCCTCTTGAAATAAGAGTAGATTCTATTGTTCTTGTCTTTTTGTTCCTCACAAATCTCTTCCAACACCCCAAGTCGGACCATTAACAACGGTGACAATATTGGGCGATGATGCATTGGTCAAGTGACTTGAGGGCTCGATGCTGAGCTCCGGGAAATTCTGCCCTAACACTTCCAAAATCAACCTTCGAAGTTCATTTTTGGGTACAAACACTTGGGATGGAAATGATTTACATCCCTCACGGGTTCAGGATATTATTTCTCTAGCATATAATCAAATAACTTTCGCTCCATCAACTTTGGATACACATGCCTAATTGGGGTATAAACTCAATGGACTAGGAGAAATACGGGCGTAGGGGATACAAAATGACGCGTTGTTGAGATCTCAACTTTAAGTACCCCACATCGAGAAACTACAATATGTAAACAAGGCCTACGTGTACTAATATGAAGCTTGAGATTCCAGTAACTCTAAAAGAAAAAAGTTGTTTTCCAAGAAGGCATCGACTGTGGAAGATCGTAAGAAGTATGGAAATTAAAATCGAAGTCATACGGATCCCAAGATGTATCACTGTTTAGAGAAGCCCAATAAAGCGGACACACGCAAAAACGGATCGCATTCATATATAAGCTCACGCTGACACGTTAATTTGCGATCCAATTCGGGATTTTTCTTAGGTGTGAAAAAGCTCTCTATTGTACCTGAGATGGGAATATTGAGAGAAGAAAAACACAAAAGATTTCACATAGCAAATTTGATAGGGGGGGGGGGGGGGG